GTGCCCTGCTGCTGCTGCAGACATCGTATCCTGTCCGTGTAGCTGTGTGTTGAAGTACAGCAAGCCGTTCTGGGTAGTGGTTCTAAAGTGGAATGCTATCTGATCTCTAGCACCTAGCCGCCTGGCTGGTAATGCTCGGAATCCTGTGCCAATGCTTGAGATGGTTGTGAGCTGGCAGTTTCTTCCTTGATACTGTGCTGGGCACATACACCAGTAGCCTAAGCCGTTGGGATTCGTGCTACACGTTCCGCCGTTCTTACAGGGCAGTGTGGCACAGGTCGGCGTCAGCTCACAGTTGTCACCGCTGTTGTGTGCCGAGCACACACATCTGTACCCCAGAGCAGCGCTGACATCCTCTACGCACGATGCACCGTTCACGCACAGTCCCGGTCGACACGCGTAATGTGCTTGTGTGCAGTCCTCACCAGTGGTACCTGCCGGGCATGGCAGTGTGCAGTGGTAGCCATGGAGACCGACGGCACACTTGCACACATAGCCATTGACGGCATCATAACACGTTGAGTAGTTTGAACATGGGTTACTTTGACATTCGTCAATGTTCACTGAGCACAGGTTGCCTGTGAATCCAGCCGCACAAATGCAAGTGAACCCCGACCCTGCTGAGATGGCAAGTGGCTGGCATGTTGCACCGTGTTGACACGGGTTGCCGTCGCATGGTGACTGGCTGGCTGCTGGACTGGCTGCACTCGCACACATTGGACCCTGGTGTTGTGCAGTGCACTTACAGCTAGTGGCTGTGGAGCTCTGTGTACAGTTTGCGGCATTGGCGCACGACACAGTGTGCATGTTGCACAGGTTCGGGAATGTAGAGTACTGGCAGGTAGTGCCGTAGAAGAGATCACTGCATTTGCACGTGTAGCCTTGGGCTGTGCGTACGCACTGCCCCGCATTCTGACATGGACTGCTGCGGCATGAATCCAACTGTTGTTCACACGTACTGCCGTGGAAGCCTGGCAAGCAGTCACATACGTATCCAGCCGTTGCCGAGGTGCTGTCATAGCATGCAGCACCATTGCGGCATGGCTGTGAGCTGCATGCACTGATGGGCCACGTGCACTGTTCTCCGGTGAAACCAGCCGCACAGAGGCACGTGTACGGTGCTGCACTACCACTGCCTGGCACACATGTAGAGCCGTGATAACATGGATTAGAAGAACACGCATTGTCAAGCACCAATGTCGCTGTCTGGCACTGTTGGCCTTGAAACCCGATCAGGCATGAGCATGTGTATGCTCCTCGGCCGGAGGTGCACCGCGCTCCGTTTTGACACGGCTGGGCCGTGCACGGGTCTTGAACTGCAGTGAGCGTACTTTGACCGCAGGCGGTGCCATGATAAAACTCTGGACATACGCACTGCTGTGCTGCGGAGAACTGTGTGTTGACGTGGCACGAACCATTGTTGAGACACGGGCAGGTGGCCATGCTGCTTAGCTTCACGGTGTTATTTGAAGCGGTGCTGCCGTCAGCTGTACTCTCTGTACTACCCATGCAGAGATAGTCCAATGTGTTAGCTAGTGACAGCGTACATGTGGTGCCACTAGGGCATGGCTGGGAGTAGCAGGCATCAACACTGAGCTCACAATGCTGGCCAGTAGTGCCCGGCATGCAGATACACTTGTAACCGTGCTTTATTGGGACGGAGAAAAACACTTCCGATGGAGAAACTGTCGATGTTTCAGCGCTGGTCACGGTAGAGACTGGCTCACATGTGGCGTAGTTCTTGCACGGTGCAGTGCTACATTGGTCAACGGGTAGATTAGTCAGTGAGGTGCCCAGCTGCTGCTCTATGGTGCTGCGATTGCGACTAATGCTCAGCACCAGTTGCTGTTGGCTTAGGAAGCTGCTGTGATGGCCTGCGCTAACAGCTACCGTGATGTCTGTACGCCCTGTTACCCGCGCTGATTGCTGTATTGCCAGTAGATATATGTCATTGTAGAGAGCACCTGTGGCTTGCTGCACTGCACTGACAAAGCCATTGATGTGAAACTTCTGCAGCAATGTGTTTGCATTGCCTGCAACACTGAAAGTCAGGCTGTTAGCCACCGCTGCCGCAGGGACCGAAACGACATGTAATTGTAGAGTGCTGTTGACCGGTGGCTGCGTACCATCACTAACGCTCACTGTGGAATGGATGGTGCCTGCAGAGGGATTGCTCTGCATAAGACTGACCTCGCATGCCGGACTCACAGCCAGAACGGTTGGATTGTTGTTGGTGAGTGTTGTGCATTTGAAAGCATGCACGCTGTCAGCATCGATGACATTGACAGTGCCCAGGGGCCCTGCTTTCAGGGACTGGTTGAATGTGTTCACAGTGAAAGTCCTGTGGCCGCCGGTCCAGCTCGGGCTATCATTGATGTCGTCCACGGTTACTGTAACCGTGGTGACATTGCTGACATTGCCGTACTGTGCCATGACTGTAAGCCGGTATGTTGGCGTCTTCTCGCGGTCGAAATTGGCCGCCGCGCCTAGGACACCGGTGCTCCTGTCCATGCTGAACATGTTGTTATCATTGCCACTGGTCAGTGTGTAGGCAACACCGTGCAGCGCAGACAGTGCTCTATTCACAGTGTACACCTGTAGAAGGCTGCGCACAGCACTGCTATGCTCGGCCACTCTAGCTGTATAGTAGCCTGGAATGAACACCAGCTGATCATTGGAACTTTCCAGCACGGTGATCTACAAAGGGAGAATAAAGCCGCAAACAAACAACATAAATAGTTTGCAGGGGAGCTAACAAAGCAGGAGTACATGGACCCCAATATACCGCCCCAACACTACCCTGGAATATTTATCAGGAGAGCCAACAGTTTTTAAATATGCGATGTTGATCCTGGAAGTGAACAATTTTAGTTTAGTGCTGGCAAAGATATCACCCACACGGCCCTGGTTAAGTCCTGTGGCATTACTTGCATGCCCCTGCTAACACTGCACCGTAACACTCCTATTCGTGTCTTACCTGCAAACGTGCCATGGTGGACTTGGTAGTGACCGAGCTGCTGCTGTCTGTTGCTGTTACCGTCAGCTCGTATCGTTGATCATGGCTGCTGGTAAACTGTGCTGTTGTCAGAACAGCACCGTCTTGTGCAATCTCAAAATGGTCTAAGTAGTTACCAGCAGTGATGGAATAGACAATGGTAGCAGACTGGTCATCATCCGTAGCCGTCACTGTTACAATCCTCTTGCCAGCCATTTGAATGTTGTTGCCAAGGGTGAGTGTTGCTTGGTAGTAAGTCATTCCCATCGGATATACAAACCGGGGTGCATATTCATTGGAATCTCGGATGTAGACGATCACGCTTGTCATGGCGCTCTGCGATGAACCTACTTGCGGGATGATAGCAATGGCTAGGCTGTACTGCTGTCTTGCCTCAAAGTCCAGTGGTTTTGCTAGGTACAAAGCTCCGGTTGCGTTGATGACAAACTGTCCGGTGCTATCGCCAGCTGTGATGCGATACTGCAGTGGTGACGATGACACTGCGTAGATCTGCGTGACAAATGTGCCGGGCTGTGCGTTCTCAGCAATACTGGCTGTGATCAATGGTGCCAGGGAGACACCAATGTTGCCCTGTGGGAGCAGTAGAGGTGTGGAGCTTCTCCGCACTATGTGATGATGCTGGTGTTGCTGTTGCGCGTGCGGATCATTACTTAGATATATCACACCCACACTATGGATATCGCCTTCTGGCGAGCCAGCTCTCACACCTCTACCATCGGCGCTGGGTGTAACGCCCAGTAGTGGCTTGTTCTCAGGCAATGCAGGGACTTGATAGTCTCTGAGGCAGTCGCTCAGGATCACTTCCTTGCTTTCTTCAGGAGTAAGCTGTATCAGCTCATCTGTCGAGCAGATAGTGTTCTCCACTAGTTTTCGGCATTGCCTGGCAAGAGAGTTGATGATGGTGCCACTGTGTTCACAATCAATGTCGTATTTGTCGATGGTGGTCTGTAGAGCATGCAAGCCATACACAGAGGATGTTTTTGTTAGCCAGTGGGAGAGCAGCAGACATCTCGGACAGATACAACCTTCACTTGAACACTGTATGAGGTGAGTGTGTGTATGCGTGTGTGTGTGTGTGTGTGTGTGTGTGTGTGTGTGTGTGTGTGTGTGTGTGTGTGTGTGTGTGTGTGTGTGTGTGTGTGTGTGTGTGTGTGTGTGTGTGTGTGCACCATTCTCGCATCCAATGGTCCAATGGTCCAATGGTGTGTGTGTGTGTGTGTGTGTGTATGTGTTTTTTTTTTTTTTTTTTTTTTTTTTCTACAAAATCCACATATCTCCAGACACTGGGGTGAATGATGGAGTGTGGTGGTGGGGCCCATTAAGCTCCGCCGACCAGAGGTCTCGGCTTCATAGCTCCATGGACGCACCAAAGGGATATTGGGTGGGGAGGATTAAATTGTAAAAGAAAACAAAAGAAAGAAAATGGAAAGATTGTATTGCTCAGTGAGCAAAAGAATAAGTTGAATATTGATGTGAACGCTGTTAGACTTTTAAATTCAAGAGGAGACTGTCCGTGAGGAGAGATTACATGTATGTCCAAGCAGGGTAGGACACTGTACCCTCTTACTCGCGTATGCTATGAGTGGCCCAGTGCCAGTTCGTTCTGAGGAGATGGTGATAAGCTGCTGTCTTGAACTTTTGGATGTTCTTTGGGTGAAATGGGTGGGGAATGATAGAGGTAGGCAGCTGGTTCCAAATTGGGATGACGGAGTGGGGAAAGGCTCGGCTCACATTGTTCCGGGAATTGGCAGGAAGAACATTCTGTAACTGATGGGGATGCGCGGTGGACAGTCGTACAGCCTGGCGGGTGAGGCGTGTGGTCCTGGGTTGGTGTGTCGGGGGTGGAGCCATTCTCGAGAGAAGAGCGGGAGAATTATCGCAAAGGGCTTTATACAGGAGGCAGAGGGCAGCGATGGTGCGGCGAATTATGAGGCTAGGAAGCCAGCATTGCGGATGTATTGCCTTGATGGCTCGCTCCTGCACCCAGTCCAGCCGATTCAAGTGGGAAGGAGCTGCCCCCATCCAGACGATTGGGCAGTACTCCATAACCGGCCGGACAAAGGCTTTGTAGGCTCGAAGCCGGGCAGGAATAGTCAGCAAGTGAAATGCCTTGCGCAAGGCTCCAAGTCTCTGCGTTGCTCGGACTACAACAGTTCGGATATGCTGGCTGAATTTTAGCTGATGGTCAAACGTGACGCCGAGTACTTTGATGGAGGGCTGCTCCTCGACAGGAGTTCCATTGAAGACAATGGGGGGTATTGGCCAGTCCCGACGATGGTGGGAAATTGTAAGGGCCTGAGATTTGGCTGGCTCGAACTGCACTTTCCAATCCGAGCCCCAACTGGATACTAGGTCGACAGCAGCCTGGAGTACTCTAGCGTTGTCAGGAACAGCAGCGAGCGTTGCAATTTCGGCGTATAGGGTTGTGTCATCGGCGAATGAGGCAAGGTTGGAGCCGATTGGGAGGTGGTCTTCAAGGTCGTTGACGTAGACCAAGAATAAGGTGGGCCCCAGGATACTGCCCTGTGGCACCCCAGCCTTAACTGGGCGTCTGGCTGATGTCTGGCCGGAGATGAGGACTTGAAGTGTGCGGTTGCAGAGGTAGTCTTGGAGCCACCGATGCAGGTCTCCCGAGATGCCATACACTCTAGCCTTGTGCAACACACCAGTGTGAGACACCCGGTCAAATGCTCCAGCAATGTCGATGGCCAGCACTCGAGAAGCTCCTTTATCTCCGGCGGTGTGCACCCACTGGTGGTGGAGAGCAGTCAGCAGGTCTGCTGCACTGTGGCCGCGACGGAATCCAAATTGCTGTTCTGACAGGACGTGATTCGTCTCCATGAAGTTGCTCATTGCCCTGTTGACTATGGTCTCCATGACCTTGGAGAGGATGCTCAGTAACGACACTGGTCGATAGTTTGATGGCGACGATTTAGACTTGCGCTTGTGGACTGGAACTACGTTTGCAACCTTCCACTGTTGTGGCTGGATACCGGAGCGAAGACAGCATGTAAATAGTTTTGAAAGCGGCCGTGCCAATTCTGCAGCGCAAGCTTCCAAGACGCGGGCAGGTATCCCATCTGGACCAGTGGCCTTGGTGGGGTTGAGCTGGCGGAGAGTTCGCTCGACTGTGGTTTCGCGAAACCGGACGGTGCAGAGGTTGCGGTCAGTACGTGGTCGGACGTAAGGAAATGGAGCGGATAGGTCGTCTGCCCCTAGACTGCATTTGTTGGCGAAGTGTTCGGCCATGCACTCTGCTTTGCTGCGGTTGGTGTCGTGCTCCGTACCATCGGTGCTGCGGAGAGTAGGTATGGATGGGCTGTTTCCGTGGCCAGAGGCCTTCTTGATGGTTCGCCACCATTCACCAGACGCCATACACCCAGAGGCTAACTTCTGCGCCAGGCTTGCTGTGAATGCCTGCTTGGCAGTTGCCAGGCAATGGTTAGCCGAGTGCTTGGCGACATTGTAACGGGCTTGCAGCTGGGCACTTGACCGGTCGGCGCAGAGTCTCCTCCATGCTCTTTGTTTCTGTGCTACAGCCTCAGTGCATTCCGGTGTCCACCAAGAGGGGTTAGATGGTTTCATGCACAACTGCTTAGACGGTATGTATCGGCGCATTCCTTCCAGAATATTCTGGGTCAAGTGCATACACATTGCATCAGGATCATCACTGACAGTGGACTGCCAATCTGTTGTTCTAAAGAAGTGGCGGAGTCTGTCCCAGTCTGCGCGTTGGTAACGCCAGACAGTTCTGGTCACTGGTGGTTCCTCTGCTGTACTTACATGAAAGTCAGCTAGGACACAGGCATGGTCAGAGTTTCCCAGAGGTGCTAAGGTATTGACGGTCGCATCTCCCGGTAGGTCAGTCATTATTAAGTCGAGTGGGTTAAGGCCCCTGGTGGGCTCATGCACGTGCTGCTCCAAGCAGTGAAAAGCACACATGTCTTCAGTGTACACACCTGCATGAGTTGTCTTGGTGCTGCCGAGCCAATCCACGTTGTGTACGTTAAAATCTCCAGCCAATACCACATATTGACAAGATTTACGGGCCAGGTCAATGCCAGCACTGATGGCTTCAAGGGTACTGATGTCATTGTCGTGGCAGGAGCCAGAGCGATATGCAGCACACACAGCCACTGACTTCTTATCCACAGTTCTGACACTCAGCCAGATTAGCTCCTCATTACCGACCTGGATGTCATCGAGTTCTCGGAGGGCCAGACTGGCTTTAACCCAAACCGCAACTCCTCCTCCATGAGCTGTTCGATCCTTCCGCAGTGGGGAGTAGTACCCAGGCAAGGACAGTTCGGAATCAGTAGCCTTCTCAGGGGTTAGCTTGCTCTCTGTGACAATGGCAATGTCAGGTTGGTGAACGTGTACAGCATGGTGAAAGTCACCAAGTTTACTCAGTAGTCCAAATGTGTTCGTCAGCAGGATCCGAAAGGATCTAATTGGAGCTTTGAGCTTGAGTGTCGGAGGACTCGGAGAGAGCGTCACTGTGTGAGCCGGACAAGGTGTCCCCCTTTGGAGCATCACTGAGAGTGTCACTGTGTGAGCCGGACAAGGTGTCCCCCTTCGGACGCTCACGGTGGCGCCAAACCCGCGCGTACAGTGGGCGAGGCCAAAAGTTTGGCGCAGTGGCGATTTCAAGGTCAGTCGCATCGATCATCAAGCGGGCAGACACTTTCCCATCTTCTGTGGTGTGTATGCTGCACTGGTGAACCTTCACCGGTTTGTTTACTGCTGCAGAGCGTTGCTCAGTGAATTCCTTGACACTTTCTTCACTGCTATGTGAGTTCAAATTGCCCACATAGATTACGGCTTTCTTCGCTCTGTGAGGTTCGTTTGATACCAGTTTCCACGTGTCATCCGTGATTGGCTCTAGCTTCAGTGGCTTGGGCTTGACAGTGGGCCGCTCAATTGCCTGGGACTTGTTCTCATCCTCCGTTGACGTTTCATGGTCACTGGCAGGGTCACCCACGCGTGTGTGTATGTGTGTGTGTGTGTGTATGTGTGTGTGTGTGTGTGTGTGTGTGTGTGTGTGTGTGTGCACGTGCCCGTACATGTGAATAGAGTAGAGTAGAGTAGAGTGTACGGTACAAGTAATTTGAAGTTTGACGGTATTCAACAAGCACATTGTATTCCTTAGACTAAAGTAAAGGCTGGTTATTGGTGCCTTTTATTTGGTTGCAGAACACATACATGACATTGTTTTGTTGTCGCCTCCTATGTAGCAGAACATCGAAACAAGGTCTTGGAAACATGTAGTTGTGAGCTACAACTTGAGTCTGATGAGGATGTTGAACGGTCTCTGCTGGGATGGCGGCTACACCTTAGCTCAGTGGTTAGAGCATCGCTGGCCTCAAGCGAAGGTCCCTGGTTCGAATCCTGGTGGTGACAGTCAATTTTTTCTTCAGACTTTTTTCCCGTTTGTGTCTTTCCCTCTAACCAGTGAAAAACATGTACGAGTACTGTACTTGGAAATAGTGAATCACTAGCACTGTGTCCTTGTGCCTTGTTGTAATTATTTCCTGCCGTGTGTACAATTCCAATCGAATACTTGTATCCCTAGCACTTCCAACAATCTCCTTACCGTTTCAGGGCTGCTACAGAATAATTTTTTCATTCCTCTTCGTCCCGCCCCGGCATTGCCGTTCTGCCTCCATTTTCCTTGTTTGGCGTGCTGCTCAGCTCTCCTCGGTTCCGTGGGAGCATCAACTCCTTTGCTACTCGAGTATGAACTATGCATGCTGTTGGTTCGAGCTGTGGCGGTGGCTCGGGGCTCTAATCGGTGTTTCACTTTGCTATGCACGGCGTCCACTGATGATGATAGTGATAAAGATGGTGATGGTCGTACCTCCCCACTGCTGTTGTGTTGGCTGGCACGGACTGGGCTGGCCCAGCAATCGTAACTATCTCCATCGGCGAACAGCCTGCGTGAAAGCTGCAATAGTCTGAGATCTGGAGCAGGACCATTCTCACGACTAGCTTCAGCCAGGTGATAAGGACAAGAGGTCAGTTGCAATAGTACGATGGCGACTAACAGACTAGTTAGTCTAGCGGACTTCATGATCGCCCTTGCCAGCAACACTCCGCTCATTGATAACTGACAGCGACAGAATAGAGTCTACGAACACATCAGGACTTCGCTCCACTACAAACACGGTCAGGAACGATGAGAGACAAGAAGGTCTCCTTCTTTAGAAGAAAGTTAGGTGAAGATCAGACTTCAAAGGTTTTCACATCTTCATTCTTCCATGGCTGATCTCGGTGTTAGGGTGAACAACAAAGCTGCAGTGACGTCGGTCAGCCACCCAGCATCTAGTCTTCATCCCGTAGTCGCCGACAGTGCATGGAGTATTGACCGCGTTTCCTGTAGCAAGCACGGTTGGTCGGATCGAGAAGAGAGGTTGGTGGCAAGAGGATCCGTGTCGTCCTAGGCTGGGTCAATGTGAGCCACTTCACCACGGCTAAGTTTCCATCATTGACTACATCACTCGTTCCTAGTGTCCGCTCTACAGTGCAGCTCGGTCCATGTGTTTACTCGATATGGTATTTTATGTAGTGGCGAGGAAGACACTTCACTCATGTCATGCATCGTAGATGCGGCCGTTAGTCGCCACGTTACTCACATGCCCGGCCCATTGATTTTCAACCGACCTTCGGTATACCATGGTATACACTGTATAGCTCATGCTATGGTAGTGGATGTGTGTACACGCACAGTAATGGCTCGTCTCGCCGAGTGTTGACTGCTGCTGTCTGTTGTAGTGTAGTGTTGGGCTAGGTAAGGGCAGTAGGCCGGCTGTAGGGGTCAAGGCAAGAGAAGGGAGTACATACCCCGTGCCTGGCCTGGCCCAACCGAGCCCAGGAGTTGAGTTTTCGCACCATTCGTACAATAATTCACTGGATGTACCCGATTGCAAGTCTCCAGGGCATTGTCTGTGCCATGTTCATAGGCTAGACGTTTTCAAGAGAGGCACCTGTATGCGCGCTCACCTGCTCAACTCAATGTTGTTTGTGTCGGCCATCGTCGCATCGAGGCACGATGTCCACTCTTGTCTGGACATGTAAACATCGCCAGCACATTCCCGGGACATGTCCTATTGTCTGCGGCTGCACATGTGATTGTTTAATAGTGCTATGTTGATAAGCGCGTGCAGTCCGTGTCGGGACGGCTGAGTGGCACTGGCAGGAGACCAGACGGTAGACCTCCAAGCTCAGCCTCTGACTCTGAGTCTGACACTATACTAGTAGTGATAGAAGACCGAAAACCGAGCACTCCGCCCGTCGAGAATAATGACAAGTCATGCTGCCTGCATGTGGTGTGGCCAGCGAGACCGTGATCGCTGGCAACCCAGGTCCCTGCTGGCATAACGAGTTACGTTATCACTGCAGGAATGCAGGAATGCTACATCATGATTGTACAATCCTGGAGAAATACAGTCAGTCCTCGACTTCATGCTGCTGGATCATAGAGTTGTCTGGGACGTGTGACTCTGAAGTGCCGCGGTGCCAGTGCCAGTGGGTGAGATAGAGGCGTCTGGACATGGGAGTTGGAAAAGGCTTTCATAACTCCCTACTGGACCCTAGGCCAGGGCGTTGCCGTTGGTCAACTCGTTACGAGGCAACCTTGTGCTCAGGCACAGGTCTCAGGAGTGAATGGGAAATATCCTAACAGCAAAGTAGACTACTGTACAACATAGCACAATACCTGGTATCTGCGCTTTCGTCGTGTGTCATTCGTTACAAATCGTGCAACGATTTAACCACATGTGTTCCTGCGGTAGAGTTCAACTGAATCGGTGGTCGTCTACCGATGGCAGCAGGTTACTGGTGACCGCTTGCTCTGACAACCAATGTCATGATTTCCAGACAGCGGATACTATACGTGAGGTTTGCTGACCACAATCCGTAAACATACTCGTAGAACTACGAGTCGTAGTCAACACAGAATTATGTCTACCGCCTGCTGCTGTTATTGCGTCAGTTGCTGACGCTGCCTCTGCTTGTGTTCGTACTCCATGGTACTGCGGGAAACGGGGGTTGCAATGGCCAGATCCTGTTTTAGCTTGTGAGATCCGAGTTGCTAGAAGACTCCTGAGCACTGTGAGCAGGGACTGGCACGCCCACAGCACACACTGAAGTATGGACCGAACAGTCTTTTAGTGTATTGGATACGGATTCCATGAATGCGCGCCATGCATGGACTACATTGTACTTACATACATTGTGGTAGATCTACATAATTGTTTTCACGATGACAGCGTGAACAAGGCGAGGACCCACTGTGCGGGGAACAGTGCTCCTGACTACAACCATAAACCGGTTGGTAGAGTCTCGGTCTTGCCACCATTTGAACCGTATGGGGCTATGCCCGGCCCCCGGTTCAGAGTCTAGGCACCGGCGGATTATGCCGGCATAATTATTGGCATAATTATTTTGGTGGTTGAAAATAATTTGGAGCATAATTTGGCATCCTCTCGGAGGTAGGAGCATAACTTCACGATTATATCACAGTTCTAGTATGTAGGCTATACAATTGTGTACAATGCACCTGATCAGTGCTGGTGGTCTGCATGGTAAAGGGTTCGGAGGTCATGCAGATAGTGTTTTCAATGAAAAGCAGGGTAGAAATCATGGCAACACAGTATTCTATGCTCGACCTAGTCTTCTTCAAAGTTCTTTCTCACACTGACACAGTACATGTAGCAGAAGATGCGAGTGAATCACGGAGCCTTCATCAGGTATCCCGTAGCGGACGAGATAGTGGCGGGTAGTCCGCAAAACTCCGTGTACATGTACATTACATTTGTAGTTTTTGTACATTATGCATGTTACGAAGTCATGACCTCTGGTACTGCGGTAGTCTGGATCATTTTTGCAGCCATGATATGACTGCGGGCTATGGATATTGCTCGAAATTGATGTATAGTTGATGTTCGGTCATGATGGAAGGAGAAGTGGAGCTACGGGAGAGATGAGCTGATTATTCGCAGGGTGAGGGTGACATCGGTTGGACGAGTATGACGATTATGAAGACCGTGAGTTGAACATGATAATTTTCAAAGGTAACTCGAACTAATTTGGCAATGAAATAATATTTTTACTGAAGTACAAAAGAAATCAAGTGATGAATAGAAGAAGTAATGTTTTCTCTTTTCCATGTTAATCTCTCTAACATGCATGGACACCTTGCAGCTTGGTATGGGGATACTCATGTATTTTGTTGTACTTCAAATGATGGCCACTTGCAAGTACGGAAAAGGCACATTTTGCGAACATTGAGGCTCCATAAGTACAACAAAGTGAATATATTATGTCCCCGGGTGCCAAAGCATAATATGAGGATTTTAGGAGCATAATGCGAGAATCCATGAAAGCATAATTCCATGATTTCGCGAGCATAATCCGCCGGAGCCTAGTTCAGACCCTCATTATTCTAGGGGGCACAGGAAAATTCCCTGATCTCGTTGGGAGTTGAAATCCGGCCGTAACTGGTACAAGGCTTGCATATGCCATTGTGGTACATTGTAGAACATGTACAGTCTGTATCGGCTATAGCGTACCCTTTTGATTTCCGTGATTTTATCACTATAACCGATGCATCACTATATGCGATACGATCGATTTTTTTCTTTTTTTCCATCGACACATGAAAGGCAAGGAAATACTTCCAACATGGCGTTTTTGACAAATGAGCATGCTGCATAGTTGACAGTGCCCGCATTTCCATTAAAAATTCTGTTATGTACATGTACATGTATCACTATAAAAATAAGCAATGTGAAGAAAGTAAAAAAGGGCCTTTGATATTAGTGCTACATGTATTTTAAAGTTATCACTATAGCCGATAATAATATAGTGTGTTATGCGGCATGTTTTGATTCTTTGTTGCCATCATAATAT